GTCATAAAATGACGTAAGAATCACGTCATTATGACGACTGTCTGCTACCTGGGAAAACATCAATAAAAACTTTAAATAAATGTTAGAATTAATATTACGGTAATCTTAATATAATATTGTAATAAAGTTGATAGTACGTTTAAATTTTTATCTCAAAAACATTACATAATAGAAAAGAAGTGTCGTGGTTCTGGAGCTCAAAGTTGTCCAAGCCTGGTCTATAAAAAAGCAATTTAAATATTAATTAGACAATAAATATTGAGATATTTTATTACTATTGCATATTTATTGAAAACCTTACCTGTAATAGAAATAAAACATCAATAAGAACTTTAAATAAATGTTAGAATTAATATTACGGTAATCTTAATATAATATTGTAATAAAGTTGATAGTACGTTTAAATTTTTATCTCAAAAACATTACAGGAAAGATAGAAAAACGCAATGTTATTTGCAACGTTATGGCATTCCCATTTCAACATTACTGAAATTTCAGAATCGTGGTCAAAGTATGTTCATATATAATGATGTTCCATACAACATTAAGAACTACATATTTAACAACATTACAAGTTCTAGAATATCGTTGCAATAACATTATAATAATGATTTTTTGCTTACTGGGATATTTACAGCAAATATCATTACAATAAAAATATAATTTTCATGTTTATACAAATATACTTAATTTATATTATTAAATATGACTAAAATTACGAGTTTAGAGCAATTACTTTATTTTATATTTTTTTACAGATTTAATTTTTTTAAGTTAAATTTAGGGCAAATTTATTGTCAAAAAGTATTTTGCCGAGATTTTGTTTAAAAAAAAAAAATAGTATTGACAGTTATTTACAGTCACTAAATATACTATTTTTACAGTCTATTAGACTTGTCGTAACTATTTGTATACATTTTTTTTGTCTTTGGATCTCTAGAGAATTTTAATATCGGTGTTTTTAAGATTTTCATGACTTTTGGCTGGACCTGTCCCTATAGAACATCCTTAAGAAATATCTTTGAAATGCTTCAGAAATATCTTTGAAATAATTTAGAAATGCTTCAGAAATATCTCTGAAATGCTTAAGAAATATCTCTGAAATGCTTCAGAAATATCTCTAAAATGGTTCGGAAATATCTCTGAAATGTTTCAGAAATATATGGGAAATATTTCAGATATTTTTTCTCATATACTGGGTAATCCGGAACAATTTCCTGTCCTTCATAAATTATATTCTTGATTATAGTCATGATTTTGCTTCGCCGGAGGTCTGCTTATATTAGATCCCAACTGAAATTTACTTGCGAGTTAGTCTTACCATTATGCGCCGCCTAGCAGTGTCGTTGCATATTTCTCTGAAATGTTTTGTAATATTTAAGAAATATTCCAGTGAAAAGGGTCATTAATGATTTTGATGAAACGTTTCAGAATTACTTCTGAATGATTTCAATGTTACATTAATTCTAATATTAATTTCCAAGTTATCTTTCGGAAAGCTTTCTGAAACATGTGCTGTGTGGGATGTAATTTTACATATATATCGAAGAAGCTATTGCTTAAGATATCGAACATGTTTCGACAAAGATCGTCTTAATTTAACAATAACTGCACATTGAATTCAATATTTCCATTGGAGGAACTAACGGAAATATTACGGAAATATCCGAATCGAGAATAAGCATCGCCTTGAGAACATCTTCGCCAAGTCAATCTCGAATCAAATAAGACTTAGGGCCAAAGCACATATGACAGTCGTACAAAATCTTCTTTGCGAAGATAATCTTATTTTACGACTATGAAATCTGCTAACATCAAGACGGTCTGGATTGGATAAGACTGTCTTGGTCAAGATCGTCTTAAGTGTCGACTAGAGATTCAACTATGAATACGGCCCTGAGCCTGTTTGCCTGTTGCCGTGTTGCCTCTTTAACAAAAAACTATTTAACAAATGACTAATGCTCTTGTCGCGAACCGGGCACAAAAATATTCCGCGACCGAAGGTAGATCTGTTACTATGCCGCATTATACTACAGTCCGAAATTTCCCAATTTGCGGAAGTTAGAGCAACCACGGATATTTCTCACTAAATTTCAAATTTTATTAGAAAAGAATTCTTTTCGCCAAATTCAATATCCTTTCCTTTAATAATACTTTATTGATTAAAAAAAAGTACATTTTTTTATTAAATGGACTTTCTCTTAACGCTATTGTTACAACAAATGCTGCTGCAAATACACCACATAATGATAGGCTCAAGTGCTTTGTAACTTCTTCAACTATTACATTATTCTGTTCATACGTATCGTGTTCACACGTTACTTACACGAAAACATAATTGAGGAGCAAATATTGTTCAATATAAATAAAATAATTAAATATATTAATAATAAAAGATAAACTATCGTTTATAACTAGAATCATTTCACGATAGTCGAATACATATACATTCACAAAAGCGATTGCGGAAGACCTCAGAGACGAGAGCGGAGACAATTTCCAGTAGGAATATTTTGATTTGCAATAGGTAACAGCATAATTATAAAAACTAGCAGTTTTCTTGCTAAAGAATTTATTAAATAACATTTATATTTAATAATTTTTAACTGCTTTGCATAATTATGTGTTGTGAAAGTCTAAAATTGTAAAATAATAATAAACAATCGCAGATGTGTGTGTGCGTATGTCGCGTTTAGCAAACAATAAGTTTAATTCATGCAAATCTACATAATAATGAATAATTAAGATTTCTTTCAGTTTTTTCTAGCACCAATAAACAACTTGTCGGATGGATAGAGACTAGGCCTTATGGTGCCTTCGCTACTTAGAATCACAAGATTTTATCGTTATAATCCCGATTTCGGAACAGATATAGTACCCGTCGACGTTGCGGTAATTTTTTAATCACTAGTGCGTGGGACGTCTTTAATCGATTCAGGTATGATTAGGTACTTGACCAACATCTCCGTAGCTAATTTACTTAAAAATTTATTTCTTTTATTTTGAACATTGTTACCAGATAATGGCATAATAATGGTTCAACCTCATAAATTGTTTAGATTGTTGTTTAGACACGATTTTTAATGACTTATTATACTCTAATATTATTTCTCAATGCTTATAAGAAATTAACGTCAAGAATATAATATAACAATTAAATATGAAAGTTAATAGACCGAAAAAATAAAAAAATTAGTATTCAGTTGCTATTATTATTTATCTGTTTAGAATATCGCAAATAAAACTAGTCTAAAATACTGTAGTTAATTGTGGGGGGGGGGGGGGGGGCATATTCATGAAACCTCGCTCGGACGAATATGTGTATTTAAATACGTTATAACTACTTACAATTAGGTATTATTGTAATCACACACACATATGAATATTAGCATATGATTATAAATGCATGAAAAATGGGAGTCATAAAATATGGATATTTTTTTTATTTGGATCCTTTGAAACGGTTAGAAGTGCCCCAGGAACAACCCTATAACCTGCATTAATTATAAATAATTAATATTATACTAAATAATATGTTAGAAGTGCGGTTGGGGTTTCCGAAGTGTGAGCGTTGGGAAAAAACTTGCAAAAAGCCCATAAAACATCTGCAGCAAATCTAGTCGTAAAATATTTATATATAAGTAAACATGTTTTGCTACTATTGCTAAATAATAACTCTCGTAGCAAAAAAATGTTAGTTGTCTATATTTTACGATGCTACGGATGTTTTATGGGTTTTTTGCTACGGTAGCTAATTTTTTCCTTCGTGTGACTGTGACATGTAAAGAAGTATAATGTACAATATTATATGTAGATACATAATTATGTTTAAGTAGATTTATCTTGTAGGAGAGACAAGGATACATTAATTTATAATTTCGTGTCACCAGTCGATGGACCTAGTTGGCATAAATATGTTTATACATCACTTCTCGACACAAACAAGATGTACTTTTTGCATAATGCTGTATTCCCTTTAATAGTTTACATTCAACGTAAAATACCATATGGAATTTTTATTTGGCTCGGTTATTTCTTTCCGGCTTTACTTATAGATGCTGTAAACATCTGTATGAATAGCCCAAAGTATCACGTAGATTTAAATGTCGTTTTTATTATTTGATGTATGTCGTATCTCATAGTTTGTATCTCGAAACCAAATAAAATTTTTTTATATAATAAATAATTATAATAGTTTTATATGTATAATTTCAGAATGTGGAAGTTACGTAAGAAGGTCGACAAATCCAACGCGATCCAACCTTTTTGCAATAATGAATGGAATTGTCCCACTGACAATGTTCAAGCGATGTGGAGTCATCTCAATGAGGACGATCAGCAATTATTTAATTTCAGCATGGTTGGATTTGACTGGACAAAATATTTAATTGATTATTATATGGGCCTACGCCTTTACCTATTTAATAAAGATGACGATACTGTAGGTTTAGAAATTAGTTGTATCAAGTATAAGTATAAAAGGTAACAGATCTTTTTTAATTTTTGATTAATTTTGTTAGTTTAAGTTTAGTTTTTATTGATAAAAAAATTTTTAATTTAAATAACAAATAAGGAGCTCTAAGAGCCACCGCAAGATTTTTGTTCTTATCTCTATTTTATTGACTTATATTACATTTCAAACGTTTTGATCCTAATATTGGATTATCTTCAGTGTTACAGCACGTCAGTATTTCCTGGTTAATTTCCATCCATATTATTTGTCAGTATTTGAGATGTATTTCGTACTTCAACTAGTGTCGTCTCGTGTCGATTTGAGATGTTTTATATATTATAACTCATGTTACATCGTGGTCCGAATTTCGTGCGTTGGTTGATACAATACTGGTACGTTCCGGAGGCAAAATCTCTCTTTTTCTGTGTGTGTGTGTGTGTGTGTGTGTGTGTGTGTGTGTCTTTTGAATCATATTTTCTTTGAAAGAATCAAATTTATGAATAAAAATAATTAATAATATAAGATTAATAAAAGGAATCACTAACTTATACCTATTTTATACTAATAGGGAAGACCGGGGCTATTCGTGACACTGCTGAAATTTTGTCGCGGGCCTAACTTTAAAATGCTTGCTGCTAGAAACCTGTAATATCAATCACAGATGTTTCTTAGTGTTCTCTAAGTACCGCATTTGCGTGTCAACCATTTTTCTCTCTCAGTGACAGAAAGTTTGATTTCAAGTGCTCAAAGTAAATTTTTTCAAATCCCAAAAATTTGTTTTTTTCGCCGAATAAAATAATAAGAGATCCGAAACGGTAAGTTGTATTCAGTCACTCGACTTCACTAAGCATAATGCATGAGTAGATTTTATGGTATTCTTTCTTATCTGTAAGTCACGGATCATGAATAAGGAAAAATCACACCGGGGCATTTCGTGACACGAGCAATCGGGGCAACCAAAAACGCCACGAATAAGCGTTCAAAAAAAAAACTAATTTGCAGGGGCCAGGGACGTTTTCGAGAAATGGTTTTCCGTAATCGAATGTGAGCAATGAAGGCAATTAATGGAACAGGCGTTACATTTTTCCTAATAATTTTTTATACATATAATATGTAAATTCTGACAAATAAAGGCTTTTTCAAAGTATAAAGTAGATAAAAATTGCAAAAACAAAAGAAATCTATATAGTTTGTTCAATCAGAGAAAGTGTTACGCATTATCCCGTGATTTGTCACGAATTACCCAGGCTTCGGGACAATTCGTCACACATGACACAACGATACATTTCTTGATATATTTCGAGACTCGTGAGAGAAAAACCTATATATTTTTTTTCTTTTAAACTAGAGAGATGGACGATTACATCGCACTAATAAAAATTTTTTAAACATTTATATGAAGCAAGAAAAAAATTCGAAACAAAAATGTGTCACGAATAGTTATGAAAAAAATTATGAAAAAAAGGGTTAAGTAATTAATAATTAATGAATCATGATAATGAAAAGATAAAGACGTCATTATCATGTTAACATAATCTAAATTATGTCACGTAACGTAGAGATGCGTACGCATAAGTATACAGCACGAATTCCTAGATTGTACCGCCACGATATACAGAAAATCTTATGATGATACGATTTAGGAAACTTGGTAGATTTTATAAAAATATCGATTTAATTATTATAATAATTGCAAATATGTATATGCAAAAAACGCAAAATATTTTACAATAAACCTTTTTTTATAAAAATATAAAAATTTCTAATAAAAATGTATGATCACATTATTATTAGATATATAAATTGATAACAAATTTAAATCAGTTGTACCTGAATTTTTTAAATGTCGTTAGCACGCACAAAACAAGGTGTAATCTGTTAAATTTTTGTCTATATTACTCATTTCTCATTTATTTTATATTTTTGTAATTAAATATTGCTTAATTATATTAAGTAATAATGTGTGAAATATTGATGAGGTACGATTTGGGCGGTACGCATTCGGCAACTCTCCCTTACTTGTTATGTTAGTGATGAGGTTGAAAAAAGTGCTGGTACCCAGGTAGCACATACACGTTTCAGAAATATTTTATAAGCGTTTTTCCGAAACATTTTATAACCGATTTCTAGAAACGTTTCTCATAAGTAAAAATGTCCATTCGAAAAACGTTTGATAAAGACATTTAAAATTCCTACTTTTCACGTCTTTTGAACGTGTTTATGACGTCTTTGAGACATGCGTGAGAATTAATGTTCTAGAAGCTTTATGCATATATTATCTATGACGTTTATTCTTTTTTGAAGAAATTCCTAAACTGGTGCACATTCATGCAATAAGTTAAAGTGAAACAAAATATACTTTGTCTCATTTTAACTTAATTGCATTACTCATGTACAACACCAGTTCAGGAAGTTCTTCAAAACGGAACACACGTATATAAATGTTCTTTTAATGGCCACGTTCAGCAGAACGTTTATTTTGCAACTGTTGGAAGTTTTTTAAGCTCAGATTTATCCGACGATAAATAGATTAAGACCGGTAGGACAAAATTAATTAATTTAATTAAATAAGTGAATATATGTGCATGGATAAAATGATTTATTTTGTGCAATAATAATTAGTGCAACATAAATTTTTGAATGTTTTAAAAAAGACTATTAAAGCTATTTATAGATAAAGCAAATTACAATTTTGAAAGGAAAAATTTTAAAAATAGGTATTTTTGTTAACTGTAGAAACGTAAAAAATACGTTTTTTAAATCATGGTTTTAAAAACATTTTTGTTCAAACGTTCCTTAATGGTTCTTTACGGTTATGAAACTATGTATACGTTCAAAAAACGTATATGAAACTAATATATGCTACCTGAGCAGTAAACATATTTATCTCAAGAAGCCTTGAGTTCTTATTTCTCCAAATCTCCACGGAAACGGGAGTGGTAACATAATCTTTAAAACTGCGAGATTTCTCCTGCAGTCTTCAGTCTTCGGAGTGATGTCAAGTCAAACAGACATTCAATCTAGGAAATTAAAAAATTGGATATTTTTTTGTTAACCTTTATATAGTCTGTATTAACTTCACATATTTTATGAACAGTGAATAAAACATGGAAATTGAAGCACGCAGAACACCGATACAAAGTTTTTACGCCGGACAATCAATATTTATTACAGGTATTTAATATGCAAGTATAATTTATGTAATAAAGTAAAATTACATTGTTCAACAAAAAATTAGATATCTTTTTTCGAGCACAAGAACAAAACTAATCGTTTCCGGTAGTTGTTTAAACGCTGAATACGATCCTGTATGCAAATTGCTTTCTCACGTTACAATTTTGAGAAATTGGCACTTAAAGTTGCAACTATATATTTTAGTGTATTTTCACAAGAAACGATTATTTTCTCGTTCTCGTGCCAAAAAAGAAATATTTTTTTGTTAAACAATGTTATTATAGTGACATCGAAAATTTATGTAGTAGAAGGTTGTACGTTAGAATAGATAATTCAATTAATGCAAAACTGTTGTTTATGTTAGTATTGTTCATTCTTTAATGAACGAATGGAATCGTCCATAGATGACTTAGGGCCTCGATAACATCGGCTTGAAAACGTATACTTACGAGATTATATATTCACGATTCCTTATTTCAGTGTTAATAATACATTGTTATACTGTCAATCGATCATCTCTTCTGCTCATAGTTAAGATATTTTTCTTGAGAAAAGAAACATTCTTCTTTCTCCGTATCATTCGTCACTTTTAGGTAATATCCCTTCAAGTACAAAGTGGGGTCCTTATCTCTACTGAGACACACACACACACACACACACACACACACACACAGTAGAGAGGGTTTGGAGTCATAAAATACTACGGGAGTGACGAACCGTGGGGTCCTTATCTCTGTTGACACACACACACACACACACACACACACACACACACACGCACCTGACACCCACCTTAATCGTAAGCAGCATTATAGATCAACATCGACTGCACCCGCACTACGCTGCAATAAGGTATGAAAAGTCCAACTTTGGGGTGCTGTATCTCGAAAACTACCCGTGATCGGACCTTGGGGCTATTGACACTTTTATTCTAAGTGTTGAGAACTACCACATATCAAATTTTCAGAAAAATTAGCCGAAAGCCATTTCCCATAAGGATTCTGCGGAGTCCTTTCTTTAACTGCAAATATCTTAAAATTGCGATATGATAGAACAATTTGGCAAGCGGGATCGTATTCAGCGTTTTTGTTCTTGTGCTTTTTTTTATTGAACAGTATAATATTTTTAAGATAATTGATGCTATTTAATGTTCAATATTCTTAAAATGTCTTTGAAGCTAGTATTTGACTATTATTTGTTCTTTCTCAGAATATCCTACCAAAGGATATCCTGAGGATTAAATTGAGATGTCTATAAAATTTTAATAATATTCATTTTGGATGTTAATCTTGAATTTTCAAAGAGCATTTTCAAAGAACATTTTATGCTATCTGGTACATATACTGATACAGGGTGTCATGTAAATAATATGCGGACCAGTGTTTGTGAGCAGGTAGAGCGGGTAAAACAGAATCGAAAAGTAGTTTACGTTTTGTAAGCTTCTTAATAATTAATAAGAAATTAATTAATAAGATAACGCGAATCACACAGGATGCGTTCGTGCGATTCGACGAGAAGCTGCAGCTCAACGTTCACATTGTTTATATAGGCGCGTGGCGAGGCATTGCCATTGGAGGAGGAGCATTAAGTAAATAACAACGGCTATACATAAACTACATTCGTGAACAGCCATTGTTATTTATTAAGCTTTTGCTAATATTTCGCGTGTAGCAACGTGATAGCCTGTATATATACATACACGTACATAAATGTATATCACTTTGTTATTTTGTTTTATATATAGGCGGTACTGGTTTTGTTGGGAAAGTCTTGATTGAGAAACTGTTACGAAGTTGCCCCGATATCTCAACGATATATCTGCTAATACGTTCAAAAAAAGACAAATGTCCCAAAAGCCGACTGGATGAAATGTTTAAGACACCTGTGAGTATCTCGAAAAAGACATCGAAACATGATGTACATTTGTAAATGATCGTTATTCAAATATGTAATCCATAGCTTTTTGACCGAGTAAAAAAAGAAGTACCCAATTTCCGCAAAAAAATCGTACCGATTATAGGCAATCTCGTCATAGAAGACTTTGGATTGTCAGAAAGTGACAATAACACTCTGATAAATCAGGTAATTAATTCCGATTACTCATTATTATATCGCCTATACTACTACATTCTAATACAATAAAAATGTATTGCATATTTAAAGAAGCACATATATTTTACATATATCTAATTATAATTATCGATGGAATTAGAAATAAATTCTATACGTTTTTCTACTTAAAGCATGTATATTTATTATAGGTATCTATAATTTTTCACTTAGCAGCAAACGTACGGTTCAACGAGAACATCAAAAGTTCTACGATAATAAATGTTAATGCTACCGCTACCATCTTAAAACTTGCAAAGCACATGCCAAATTTAAAAGTAATTCCTTTATTTAATATGTGTTCTAGTAATAATAATAAGCAAAAATTATTTATATTTTGCAATTTTCATTAATTTTAAGAAAGAAACATGAATTACGCTTAACGTTCATCTTGCAGTCGTTTATTCACGTGTCAACAGCTTATGCGAACTGTCATGTTGAACATATTGAAGAGCGATTCTACTCGTATCCCATTAATCACAAAGACCTTATTATGTTCACACGTTATTTAAACAAAAACGTAATTGAGAAAAAAATATCTAGGTAATCCTTTGATGTTCAATATAATAAAATAATTTATTATATATTAATAAAGACAGATAAACTATTGTTTGACTAGAATCATTTCACGATGGCCGAATACATATACATTCACAAAAGCGATTGCGGAAGACCTTCTTAGAGACGAGAGCGGAGACTTGCCAGTAGGAATATTTCGACCTGCAATAGGTAACAGAACAATTATAAATTAGTAGATATTTATTAATTTGGCTTCCTTATAGAGGAAGCAATGTACAGGTTTCTACTTGCACACTTAAAAACTATAAGAAAGCAATGTGCAAGTTTCTACTTGCTCACTTAAACAAGTTTCTACTTCCACACTTAAAAACTATGAGAAAGCAATATACAAGTTTCCACTTGCACACTTAAAAACTATGAGAAAGCAATGTACAAGTTTCCACTTGCACACTTAAAAACTGAGGAAACAATGCAAGTTTCTACTTGCACACTTTTTTTTATGAATAGAGTATCATTAAAGATAGATTGGTGTTGTATTTGGCTTCATATCTCAAAATTTGCGGAAATTAGAGCAATCACGTAAATTTTTTTAACCTTTGTTGTGCACACCTCTTCAAAATTACGTATTGTGCACAGGGGGTCTATTAGACCCCAGTCACTTAATTGTTTATTACAGACGTACAATTCGTTATTTTGACTCAAACAAAATTGCTGGCTATTGTTCAAAGCTTCCAAATTAGGTCTAATAGGTTTCATTAATATCTTGCAACGTAAAAGAATTATAAATGATATGTTAAATGTTAATTAAAGAAACCGAAAAATGGACTTTTTTCACTAAAAAATGCATAAAAAATTCAATTTTTAATATTTGTACGTATTGTACGTATTAGAAAAACTCGTTTGAAAAAACGTTGGGGTCTTTCGACCCCGTGTGCACAACAAAGGTTAAACAGAAATCGGTAACCTCTTTATTATTAGCAATTTTTATTAATTTTATTATATTCTTCAATTTTTTTACTCTTATTTTATATATAATTTTTTAAAATTTAATTAATCAGTTTTTGAATTATAGAAATTTCAGTAAACTTGGCTGTTTCTTTTTAACAAAAATTGGTAACTAATCAACCAAATCCAAAACTAATCTTAACGAATTATATATGAAATAGGGGTAGAAAAGACTGAAGAATATAATAGAATTAATAAAAATTGTTAATAATAAAGGAGTTACCAATTTCTGTAAAAAAAAAAAAAAAAAAAACAGCCAAGTTTACTGAAATTTCTAATAACTCAAGAACTAATTAATTAAATTTTAAAGAATATTATATATGAAATAGGGGTAGAAAAAACTGAAAAATATAATAGAATTAGAAATAGATCGATATCTCAAATATTGAGGACGCTATAGCGTAAAACACGCTTTTCTGAAAAATAAAAATCCCCTTAAAATCCATATCGGTCGACGGATTTTAATACAATTGGAAGAGAACATACTTTCTATGATACTCTATTTGTGTGCAAAACTTCAACCCGGTATCTAAAAAATTGTAGAAGTAGATGCGTGTACAAAAAATCCGCACACACACACACACACACACACACACACACACACACACACACACAC